CGCACTACTTGGTCACACATACCTCCCCCTGCCCCCACCCCCAGCCCCGCTCCGGCTTGGCTTTCCCTCCACAAAATGTCTCCCGGCCCTGGCTTGGCTAAAAGTTGTTGGGGAGAGCCACAGGCCTCTGGCCCAAGTGCACCAACTTGGTCCATTTAAACTCTGCATGGAAATAACCACCTTAAAGCTCCCCCCGCCCCTGCTCCCTAAGGGACCAGGAGCTCAGGAGTAGAACGTCCGGGACCCAGAAGGTGGTCCCGCGGTCGACCTCCCAGCCCCGTCGCGTACCGCTGGCTCTCATCGATGTACTGGTGTACATGGAAAATCTTCTCCAGCTCCTCCACCTGCGCCTTGGTGAAGATCCCTCTGGACCAGAACTGCGCCTCCTTGCTCTGGGGGTCTCTGGCGCCGGAGGGACCCTCACCCGCCTCCCCTTCCTGCTGCTGCTCCAGCTTCTGGGCGCCCACACTGCCATCCTGCACGTGCTCCCTGCCCTCTCCCGGCTCATCACCCTCAGACCGCTCCTTGTAGGCCAGGTCTTTGACAGCGCCTCCTGCTGCTGGGGCAGCTTTCGCAGTTCGTCTCTTTTGGGCAGATCTTTTCCCTACAAGAATGGGCACCACCGTCATGTTGGCACCTGTAAAAAGACACAGCCCCACCCCCACCCCCCCACCCCCCCACCCCCGCCGTCTGTGCACTGACTGCGTGACTCTTGCTGCTCTTCGCCGTTGTCCAGGAAGCAGGGGCGAGGATGCTCCTGGCTCCGCACTGGTGTAGGTCCTTCCTTCGGTGGGCGGTCCATGTCGCACTCGGACTTGGAGGTCTACGGGATCGAGGGGAGCAGCTGTGGCAGGCACGCCGTCGGGTCTCCAACCTCTCTACTGCTCCACGTAGATACCAGCCTCGTCAAAAGGTCAGGTCCTGAACTAAAAGACCAGGCTCTGTCTGCGCAGGTCCCTATATGGGGGGTGGGGGGGGCGGTGCAGAAAGGAGGAGGGACTCGGAATGCTCATGCAGCCAGTTGGGACGCTAATATGCTAATAAGAGCGGGAGCTCGTGCAAGACGGGGGAGGGGAGAGCTTCTGTTTGTCTGTACAGTTGAAGGAACGCCTACCGCCCTCCAGCACTGCACAGGCCCCCCCGCCCCCATGCAGCAGCTAGCAGCACCTGGCGACTGCTAGCCGGAACTTTGGAATGATTGGTTAAGCAGCCGCTTGTTTGGCTGGTTTGGTTGTTTGTTTGTTTTTTTGCTCTGTCTTTGAGAGAGAGAAGTTAACTTGAAATAGACTTGGAGTCTTCAGTGAGAAACAAGTTCATCTCAATATCCCGCCCCCCCCCCCAATATTATGGAAGTAAACAGCTCATTCTTGTCTTGCAGGACAGGGCTGGTAGGTTCGAACACAGACCTTGGGGTTAGCAGCTCAGCACCTAGCCCACTACGCCACAGGGGTCCTTTAGTTTTAGCTTTTGCAACCTCGCTAGCGCATGGAACTCAGGGCCCTCCCTGCTCGCTGGGTAAGATGGAGTGGTGTTGGCTTTGCAAAACACTCAAGGTGCTCAGACACTCTGTGCAAGAAACCCTATTCGGTCCTTCTACAAGTCTGAGAGCTTTTGATTTGTTTATGTCTCCATGTTCAAGTGAGGGGGTAGAACTTCACTCCCGCCGCCGCCGAGAATGTGCACCCAGCTGGGAGCTCAGAACGCCTGCGGCCCAGTGCCTGCAGGGCCTCTGCAAACGAGCCAGGCGAGGGTTCGACCTGACCGGAGATAGCAAACAAGGGACATTTCGGCCTTTCCCCTCCTCTTCCTCACCTCTAGAAACAGCTCCTTGGGCCTTTAGGCACAGCCAGGAAGTTTTGAATTTGTTTTGGTTTTGTGTTTGTCTAATCAAAAAAACAGCCAAGACAGTTTAAGGGCTAAAATTTCTTCTCTCCAGGTGCTCCATGATAGGTTAATACATTGAATCTTGAGACTAGCTCTTAAGAATGAGTTCCAGGCTTGGCAAGGTACATGATTTATCTAGTTTTTTAGCCTCCCAAACTATCATTTTTGTAAAATAAACTAAACCATTTCCATGCTTCCCTAAAACCCTCATGGATCCCAGGCACCTCACCTATTGTGCCCAAATTCCAAGTACTTTTGCCTCCTATTCCCAGAAGACGCGTTTAAATCGCAACAACAAACCAGCTAAAAAATAGTTGGTTGACCAATTCAATTCCAAATAGATGCCAAGGATGGTAAGCCCATTGCTCCTCTCTGACTTGAACCAAGGAGCTGTTGCCTATAATGGCTCTTGTTGGTTTCTGCAGCAACACCACCATACCACCCCCACCACAGCCCTGCCACTGACCAGCTATCCCATGAGTAACTTTGCAATGAGATCAGTTCTTGCCTGAGAGGCCTACAAGGGTTTTAATGGGGCTGTGCAGGAGGCTAGGTGGACATCTATCACAGTTCACATGCCAGGTACTCTCTCACCCCAGATGCCCATCGTTTCTTTCAGGATTTTCAAATCTTTAGCCATCTACGTGCTGCTCTCCCGCATGCTACCCTAACTGGGCACCAGGCATGTAGTAGTTGCTTTGATTTTTTAACTGAAATCAGTTCACTCACTGAAAAGGTTAAATCCTTAATGGCCTCACAGAGTCACCTGCTAAGGAAAACTAGCCATGGATCATGGCTTTGGGGGGCCAGACTGGTGGCAACAGGAACCTGGCATTTGAAAATGGTGACACCACAATATTAAAGAACAAGGATGAGACTGTGAAGTGCCTCAGGGACTCGGAACACATTGTGCTGGGTCAAGTTAGTCAAACAAAAGGACAAGTATTGTATGAGACTGCTGTTGTTTAAAAAGGAAAAAAAACAAACAACAGGAAACAGCTTTAATACCAAAAGAAACAGACTTGGATGCTTACCAGTGATGGGAAGGGAAGGGAGGGGGAGGGAAGCAATAGGCTGGAGGGTAGACAGGTGTTCACTTGGGTGAAGGGGAAGATAATCATCTGGAGAGGGAGAATGGTGGGGGGGGGCAGGCCAAGCTACTGGAAGATTACTGGGCCACAATGAATTTTAGAACATTTTCTCCTTTCTTGTATCCTTTGTTAATAGCTTCCCATTTCCTCTCCCATACCCCCCATGAATCATTAATCCACTTACTGTCTCTGTAGAGCCATCTACCCTGGATTCCTCGTACAGGAAAACACTCCCCCAACAAAACAAAACAAAAAGCAAAAAACTAACAATAACAAAGTAAAACAGATAAAAATTCCAATAGAAAAGAAAGCATTAAAAAGTAGAACATTTTAAATGGATCAAGAGGGAGGTCAAATAATAAGGTGTTAAATTTTAACCTGGCTGCATCTGCAGTAATCCACTTTCCAATTCACTTTGCATGAGAGGAAGGCGTCCCTTGTCTGTGGTCACTGGGGACTGACCAGAGGCCTAATCTACATGCATTATCCCTCACTTTTATTCAAACTGCAACAACTTTAAAATGAGTCAAAAGGGAAATCAAACGAGATTACAGTCTAACCTAACTATATCTGCCATACTCTACAATGCACCACTGTCTGATAACAAATCTATTCACATCCCTGGACTATAGTTAGAGGGGATTCACAAGAGGCTCAATCCACGTGAGGACCCTGAAAATGAACTTGGGGCTTTCACTGCCATTCCTAGCCTTCTGCCTGCTGTGCTTCTTTCATGTGACCTTGAGTGGCGTCTCACTTAGATGGCTGCTTCTTTGAAGACACGAGGCTGTGATTCTTTATGGGAACAAACAGTTTCATCTTTCTGGTGTGGAACAGCTGGCGGACTTAAACAGTCAATCTTGCAGTTAGCTGCTTAAGTCTTAATTGTTTGTGTCACCAGGCCTCCTCTGAAAGATTTGCAGCCATCGTAAACCTATAGGGCACCACCACTCTATTTGATAGATCACTAAGAGCTGAAATTGACTCCAAGGCAATGGGTTTGGATTCAGTTTCAGGTGGCTTCCTTTGCCCTTCACAGGATGGATGGGTCAGACATCGCCGGAGGCAGAGTAAGCTGCTCACCAAGCCCAAAGTCACAGCCATGAAGTCGATTCCGACTCATAGCAAGCCTGTGTGGCGTTTCCAAGACTGTAAACCTTACACCTCTGTGGGAACAGACAGACTCAGCTCTCTTCCGAGGAGTGGCTGGCGAGTTTGAATCTCCAACCTGTCAACACTTGTGCAGACGGCTCAGGAAACGCCCATTTGAGAAAGGAGCTTGAGGAGCCCCCAGAAGGACCAGGAACTCCCCAGGCAATCGGCATGGTCAAAAGGGTGACTGCGCTGGCTTCCAGAGGAAACAGCGAAGGGAGCCTGAGAAGAACACTGCAGTGGGTGGAAAAGACCATTGAAAACGTTCGGTGGGCTTGTGGGAAGAGTTGTATGAGCCCCCAATAAAATGATTTTAAAAAGAAAACGTTTGTGGGAGGTGCATTTGTGGAAGGTGTTAGAATATGAGCTTTGGGGAACCTGGAAAACTGTAAATAGTTTCAGCAGGAGAATCCCTTAAAGTGGAATTAATGGGGAGAGACGTGAACACAGCTATTGCTTAAGTTCTTGGCAGTTTGGGGGCATGACGTCTGGTTCAGATCTAGAATTTTCTGCTTTAGGGAACACAGTTGGGGGTTCCGAGGCCCTTTTACAATGAAATGTAACGTTCTGTGACTCTATAGTCAGTTGAAGAAGGCACACAGGTTTCGTCTGCTCATCCATTGCGAACACCACCCCCATCCCCACCCCATCAGGGATATGAGCAAAAAGATCATGCTGTGGAGCTGGAGAAACTGACTCTGATTTCAGAGCACAGCGCTGGTCCTGTTCAATCATAACAAACACGCGCCCCATTTCCTTGGCAAATGACATTGAGTAAGCCTCCTCCTCCTCTTCACTTTACTATTACCAACTGTAAAATGAGATATAGACAGGTACTTTGGAAACAGGTCTCTAGAAACTGACATCTGCATTCAAACGGGCTCGTTGTACCACACACATATAAACCGGATAACCTCGGCACTCAAAGAGCGCTTCCAGAGTCTCCATCAACGGGCAAAGGATTCCGTCCCTTAGCTCTACAGTGAAGGTATGGGCTAGCGTGTTTCCTCAAGAATTGCCAGTTATTACATGAATGCTATGCAGACAAACATTTTTTAAAAAATCATAGAGCACAGATGAGCTGCGCATGTCTGTGCACGTATTTTTACATCCCATAGTGAGATATTCACCTAGTGTGTGCTCAGGGAGACAGAGCTAGTTTTCGTTTATGGCAAGAAAAAATGGAAATACCTAGGCTAGAGTTCTTTTTATACATTTGTGGGAGGGTGTGTGGAAAATAGGCAGGGTGAAAATAAGGAGTGATACTCACGTTAGTTGTACCCTTATCCCTGGTAAGGAGAAAGATCTGGGCAATAGCCTCCTATTCCAGTGTTTGGGTGGAGTGACCATGCTGTGCAAGAGGAGCCAAAGCGGTGACCCAAAGTCGATGGACAACTGGTCACTGGTAGGCTGAATACTCCAAGACACCTTGAAAGCATTTTCGAATATTTCAAACTCCGAAGGACTTCTCCAGAGATGTATCTGTGGAGTCATTTGAATGTGTACAGTCTGTGTTTATGGAATGGGGTAATGATTAGCATTATGAGCACTCTTTGCTCTCAAAACCACCTCCCATCTCCCAAAGACACTTATGGATGTGATATCAGAAGGATGGCCAGGCCCATTTCATAAACAAGTGAGGTTGGCAGCAGCAGTCAGTCTCAGGCCCTTACTGAAATGACTGATTGTAGCTTGAGGAGTCTCAGAACGCTGAAAATAATCCAACGGATCGTAGGAACTTCAATGAAGACA